AAACTCATTAGTGGGGACACTAGTAAGTCAAGGCCCCACTGTATTTCCGTCCTTCTGCTTACTTTGGGCTTTTATTGTTGCTCTCTTTCTAATTCTTTAAGTTGTAGGGTTAGATGGTTTATTACCAGTTTTCCTTTATTTTTTATTTATTTATTTTTTTGAGGTAAGCCTGTAGAGCGATGAATTTCCCTCTCAGGACTGCTTTCACTGTGTCCCATAGATTTTGGATGGTTGTGTTTTCATTGTCATTGTTTCCAGGATGTTTTTTTTTTTATTTCTTCTTTGATTTCTTTGGTAGCCCAATCATCGTTTAATAGCATACTATTGAGCCTCCATGTGTTTGATTTTTTTCATTGTTTTTATTGTAGTTGATTTCTAATTTTATGCCATTTTGATCTGAAAAGATGCTTGATATAATTTTTATCTTCTTGAATTTGAAGATACGTTGCCTGTATCCCAATATGTGATCTGTCTTTGAAAATGTCCCATGTGCATTTGAGAAGAATATATGTTCTGTAGCTTTGGGGTGAAATGTTCTGATGATGTCAATTCCATCTGATCTAGTGAGTCATTTAGGATTGCTATTTCTTGTTTAGAGCATTTATCCAGTGGTGTCAATGGGGTATTAAAGTCCCCTACTATGATTGTGTTGCTGTCGATCTCTCCTTTGATATCTTCCAGAAATTTTTTTTATGTATTTGGGTGCTCCTGTATTGGGTGCATATTTGTTTACCAGTTATATCCTTTTGTTGAATTGCTCCGTTTAGTATTATGAAGTGGCCCTCCTTTCTTGTTATGGCCTTCACTTTGAGGTTTATTTTGTCAGATATAAGTATTGCTACCCCAGTTTTTTTTCATTTCCATTCGCCTGAAAAAAACTTTTCCCATGTCTTATAAACAGCATAATGTATGGGTCATATCCTTTCTTATCCATTCAGCCACCTATGTCTTTTGATTGGAGTATTTATCCATTTACATTTAAGGTTATTATTGATAGGTACTTGTTTGTTGACATTTTTATTCTTTATGCCCATATTCCTTCCTTGTTTTCTATTTCTTCTTTCTACAACAGTCCCTTCAGCATTTCTTGCATTGCTGGTTTGGTGGTAATAAACTTCCTCAGCCTTTTTTTGTCTATGAACTCCTGATTTTACCTTCAATTTTGAATGATAGCCTTGCTGGATAGAGTATTCTTGGATTGGGTTTCTTGCTTTTCATCACCTTGTATACTTCATTCTCTTCCTTGTGCCCTGATTTTTTTTTTATTGAGAAATCATTTGATAGTCTAATGGAAGATCCCTTGTAGGTCACTTTCTGTCTCTCTCTTGCAGCCTTTAAGATTCTTTCTTTGTCTTTTATGTTTGACAATTTAATTATGATGTGTCTTGGTGTAGGTCTTTTTGGGTTCATCTTGATTGGGACTCTGTGCTTCTTGGACTTGTGTGACTTTTTTCTTCCCCAAATCAGGGAAGTTTTCTGTCATTATTTCTTCAATCAGGTTTTCTATCCTTGCTCAGCTTCCTCTCCTTCTGGCACCACTATTATGTGTATATTGCTTCATTTCATGTTGTCTCAAAGCTCCTTTAGACTCTCCTCCTGATTTTTAATTCTTTTTCCAGTTGCTGCTCTACTTGGGGTTTTTTTACCTTGTCTTCTAACCCACTGATTCAGTCCTCAGCTTCTTATAGTCCACTGTTGAAGCCTTCCATTGTTTTCTCTATTGCAGCTATGTCATTCTTCATTTCCTCTTAATTCTTACTCACGTTGATATATTTCTCAGCTCCTTATAATTCTCATTGAATTGTAAGTAATTCTCATTCAGAGGTTTGAGCATCTTTGTACCTATTACTGAATTCTTTCTTTTACAATTACTTGCTTCAATTTCATTTAGTTCCTTTTCTGGTGATTCCTCTTCATTCCTTTGGGGTTATTTCTTTGTCTCCCAATTTTTGCTCTTCCTTTGTATTTGTTTCTTTGTCTTAGATCAAACTGCTGTGCCACCAGATTTTTTTGGGGTGGTCCTATGTGGTAGGTGTTTTGTGGGACCCAGTGGTGCAATCTCTCAGATTTCCTGAGCTGGGTGTTTTAGGAAAGCCCCATACTTAAGTTATTTAGGTTTTTCCTGATGTATTTAGGTTTTTAATGTTATTGTCCCCTTTGTAGATGGAGTCTCCTCACAGGTTGTCTGACTATGTGGCTCACCCCCGACCTTATTGTGTAAGCTGTTGTGGATGTGCTCAGGGTCCTGCCTCCCATGGTAAGGGTTTCCTGCAAGGTCCCACTGGCATGCAAGTCATGGGGATCTCAGATCTCACAGCTGGGGTGGTGTGACTCACTGGTCGGTCCAGAGCCCACAGCAGGGTGGCGTGCAACTCTGTGACTCACTGCAGGGTCCTGAAGCCCTTGGCCAGGATGATGTGCATTCTGCAACTCTCTGTGGGGGTCCAGGAGCCATCTTCCAGGGTGGTGTGCACTCTGGGATTCACTATGAGGGCCCGGGAGTCTACAGCCTGCTTGGCCTGGGTCCCAGAGCCTACAGCTTGGGTGGTGCAACTCTGGCCAGGTGGCATGCATTCTGTGACTTACTATGTGGGTCCTGGAGCATGCGGCTACATCTAAGTTTTTGATGTGTGTTGCCAAATGGTCCTTCCAAAGTGCTGCATCAAGTTATTATCTTGAAAACAGTGAATATTATTATTTGCCAACTGGTAGGTGATAAGTGTCTATTGTCTTACTTTGAGGATGAAAATTTCTTCATGAAATAACAGGCTATTTGATTTCTGCTTCCCTGCAATGCCTGCTCAGGGCCATAGGTCCAGAAGAAATTTGTTGCTGAAAAGTAACCCCCAATTTATAGTTTGAATCAAGTTATACAGTTTAACCTTATAATAGCAGAAAATATGCCTCAGAAATTCCTAAGGGATTTCGTTTGCCGGGAGCCGGTCCATCCTTGCTGTTTCAAGGGACCTGGCATATATGGCATACTGTTCTTAATATATTTGCTCACCTTCTTGGCACTGTGTTTTAACCAAGGTCACCTCTCCAAGAAAGGTTGTTTCCCCAGGTAGAGATTTTCCCCTGAAGTTAGGGAGGGAATAAAACCCCTTCACTAAGTGCCAGGCGGGTACTTAATATCTTTAACTACACACAATCATGATTATGCTAAGGGAATAAAACCCCTTCACTAAGTGCCAGGCGGGTAATTAATCTCTTTAACTATGATCAATCATGCTTAAGCTACATAATCTTTACTCCCTGGAATGGAGATAAGAAACGCCCTAACCTTTGGAATAGAGATTGATAGGATTGGAATCAACTGGTATAAATACAGATGCAACAAGACAACATTCTCTAGCAAAATGAGGCCTGATTTGGAACTGGCTTCTGTATTTCCCTGTAATCCATTTTCTTCCTCTCAGCATCTTACTTTTCTTAAATCCTTTTTGGGATCTCCTGCAAGTATATTTGAATTTTTGAGGTTCTGGTCTTCTTTCCCTTTCTTTTTAGTAGTTTCAATATCCCAAAGCCCCTGTTAGCATGTTTGTTCTGGGCTTAGTCTAAACCTCATTGACTATCTTCTGAGGTGTCACTAATTTCATTGCTAAGAACCAGCAATCACTAATAATAACACATTATACTTGTATGTCTGTGAGGTCCTTTCCAATTTTTGACTTAGATTGAGATTCAAGGTTTCTAATTATATGACTCTTCAGCTTATATAGCACTTTTGTGTTCCTTTATCTCATGTGATCTTTATGACTCTGTGATCACTTGTGAAAGAGGAAAGGGGAAAGGTATTCTCAGCCTCATTTTATAGCAGAAATAAAAACTCCAAAAGATTAAATGAATTGCCCAGGATCATCCAGTTAATGGTGACAACACCCTTTGACTCTGAGTTCTACAATCTTTTAAGGTTCCTAGATGGAAATAGAAATGTTTATATTTTTAATTTTATGCTGTAATCTGTAAGTTCCTCTAATTCTTTGCCAATTGTGTGCATTTTGGGTAAGTATTTCCAGAACTTGCATACCATTTTAAAGAAGGAAATTCATGATTTTCTACTAACATGTCAAAATGTAAAATTCAGGTTAAAATTGAGTTTCCATGATTTATTCTTTTTTTAAAAGCGTATAATTATATGTAAACTCAATAGAAGGTTAATTGTGTGTATATTTTGGCCTCATTTGATAGGAATTTAAAATTCATTTTGTAATGCATTTATTATAAAGTCAAGGAAGAAAAGCATACATAAGGAAACACATACCAATAAGGTACCCTAGTACAGATGTCTTTCGAAATTCATTAGCTATTACTGATGATGCTCCAGTTAGAACCATGCAGTTAGAACCACGTGGGAAATATGTTAGCAGGGAATCAAGAGTGGAAAAAAATATATCTGCTTTTTATTAAGACTTGGAGTGTGTTATAATTACGTAGAGTTTCTACCCAGGCAGCCCCCTTCATGCTGACATCTGCAAAGGGTATATAAAACTGTGTTGAGGTGTTATTTTCTGTGGCTACGTGGACACATGTTAATCAGTTAAAAACCAAGTTTTTGGGAGTCTTTCATGTTGATTCCTGCTAAGCCATGCTGGGAAAGCTTGTGCTTCCCCCATTAGGGGCATTCCCATGTGTTTTACTATTGGAAAAGAATAGAATTCTTTAGAGCAGTTATAAATGTTTGGTCTTTGATCTGATACAAATCAATGACAATAGTATAGATTTGAGAATGTCAGAATCCACAGCAGATTTATAGTTGTGTGAAAATATAAGTAGTAAAATGCTCTTTTTAAGTTAAGTGATGAAATGTCATGTTCAAATACATCTTTTTATTTGATTGGTAATGTTCTAAATGGAAAGTCAAGCTTAGACTTAAAGAGAAATGCTCCCACCTATAAAAACTGTTTTTCAAGTATTTTTAATGGATGAATTTATTATTACATACTTTAATTGGCTGCCATATTTGACAAGTTATTAACAATTGATGTACTCCTTGTCAGACAACAGAAAGATCAGAGTTAATGGAACCAAGGAACCCATAGAGTTTAAATCGAACCAATGGTTTGGAGCAGCAGTGAGAGCTCACAGAGGGAAAGTGGTGGTGAGTATGACTCATGGGCTGTGGGTGGCTCTGGAATTAAGTGTACATGGAAATGCTTTAAAAAAAATCATATTTACAAAAACCCTTTCATGCAAGAACATGTCAGACTTTCAATGATAAGCTTATCAACATTTTAAAACAGAAATTGAATACCTAAAATTAAATAATCTATTTTGCATTTTTAAACCATATGAAATAAAGCTTTTTTTCCAGAAGATCAATGAGATATTTTCAAATATTTCAAAAACACCTAAGGAAGATAGGAAAATAATAGCTCCACTTTACAGAGGCACATTTAAGAGCTGATTAAAATAGACCAGAAAAGTAGGACTACTATTATTAGGATTCATTAAAAGTTACTCTATGGTGGTGTCATTGATCCTTTTTAAGACTAAAGGTAAGCTTTATTTAAAAATATAACTACTACTTACATGGTTCTCTGAGTACATTAATACTTTTTAAAATAAAATAAAAATCTCACTGCCAAATAGCTTTCAACTTTAAAATGCTATGACTTCATGATTCTATTCTCTTATTATTCTGAGCAATAACATATGTCTAAATTATTGAGAAATAAATGACTGCATTAAGCTAACCATATTTTTGTTTTGTTTCATCAGGGGACTTTTTAAAATTGTTGGCCTTAATTTCCTTACAATAATAAAGCAGTAACTTTAGCTTTTAGGATTTTTTAAAAAAGTTGTTTACATTATGATTTAATAAAGAAAATGCCTTGCTTTATTTGGTGTGTGGTTAACCCCCCAAAAGATTTTGACATAAAACAGGTAATATATAAAATATACATAGCCCTTTCTAGTTACAAACCTAGCTTTTACAATATGCTCTCGTATTGTATTTGCACTAATATAGTTCTCACATTCCAGAATTGGTAAAAAAAATGTTTATACTTTAGTGGTGTATGATTTATGTGGATTACAATTGAAAAGCTAGTTCTATCTAATAAACTATTTGAGGTTAAATTTTTTGTGGTGTTCTGTATTGATTCTTTAAGTCTTAAAAATATCTGTAACATAATTGTTGTGCTTTTATTTGATAATTGTAGATGCCTTCAGAATCATTGAAAAGAAAATCATATGCTACGTTTATAATAAAAGTGATTAATTATGAGGCATGCTTACATTTTCAAGGAAAACGCACAGGAAATAGGATAATATAGAATATATTCAAGTTAATTTTTTTATTTGAGCACTGAAACTTAGAATTAAATTCTACTCTATATGACATTTTTAGAAATTCAAATATTTTGCAAACAGAAGTATCATTTTGAAGATTCTAGGTATCAAGTTGTACATATTAAGTTTGGGTCAAAACTTAAATATATCACATCAGTTTATTTAACACTAGAGGCCTGGTGCATAAAAATTGTGCACTGGGAGGGGGGATCCCCTCAGCCCGGCCTGTGCCCTCTTGCAGTCTGGGACCCCTCAGGGGATGTCCACCTGCTGGCTTAGGCCTGCTTTCCCCAGGGATCGGGCCTAACCCAGCAGTCAGACATCCCTCTCATAGTCTGGTGCTCTCATAATTTGGGATCCCTCACTCCTTACTTCCTGCCTGCAATAGAGGCAGGAGAGGCTCCTACCACTGCTGCTGCACTAGCCAGCCATGAGCCCGGCTTCTGGCTGAGCAGCACTACCCCTGTGGGAATGCAGTGACCACCAGGGGGCAGCTCCTGTGTTGAGCGTCTGCCCCCTGGTGGTCAGTGTGCATCATAGCGACTGGTTATTCCACCATTTGGTCAATTTGCATATTAGGCTTTTATTATATAGGATCAGTGTGAAACTGAGCAGCTATAAAAAGAATAACATTTTAGAGCTGACAGCAAGTAAGCACTGGAAAGAATTGTCAAGATATTTAAATACCCTATGGTGACAGGGAAGGTGAGGCCAGCTGGCACAGTATGGAATCACATAGGTGAATGGTTGCACTGTTCAAACCTCACCATTCGCACCTTATGTTAAATGTATTAACCACAGACTGTGTCAGTTCACTAAGAGGGCCCTAAGACAAGGGATCTTAAGAGGATTTCATATATCTTCTTTCACATTTGATATCCTTTCAAATACCATGCTCATTAGAACCTAAGCTTCTGAAGAAGCAACCAGAATGTTCCACACATGGATCATGTTTTCCTTATTGTTGTTTAAATTAATTGTTGGTTTGCCATGAATAAAAGCCAGTAAATGAAAAAGAAAGCCAAGAACACTGTGATAAAAGCTTAGTGTATCCAAAAGAAAGTCATTGTTTTTAAAAGTCTTTAGATATACCTTCAATGATAAAGTAGGAGAATCCACAAAACAGAGATTTACAAACTTGTCTGAATCCTTTGATCTGAGAGTAATTTAATTTAATGTGATAAAAAACAGAACTTGTTCTCATTTTAAGATGTCACACTGATTAATTCACTGCTTAAATAACCATTTGCTCTTATGTAGACCCAACTTTTAAAAAGTGTGAATTCTTTGCTTTAATGAAATATTTACTTTTGCCAGGTTACTTTTATATAACTTAAAATCATCTGGGAAAACTGCATTTCTTTGTATATGTTTAATTTGCTCCAATTCTATGGTGCATTAATGTTAACAAATTGGCTTTGTAAATTTAATAAACTGTGACTACTGAAGTACTCATTAGCATGCTGGAGGCCAATTAATTCACCTGATAATTAACATAGTTTGTCACAGATTTAGGCATATTACTCAACAAGTCAAATCAAATCATAGTATGGGGAACCTACATCAAAAAAAACATTGCTTTTCTTTGATGTTCCACAGGCTTGTGCTCCCTTATATCACTGGAGAACTCTGAAATCCACACCAGAAAAGGACCCAGTTGGCACTTGCTATGTAGCAATTCAGAATTTCAGTGCGTATGCTGAGTACTCTCCTTGTCGGAACAGTAAGTTATTTTTATTCCTTGAAACTGAAATTTAGCTCAAGAGCTTTTCTGTGGTAGACAGTGCAGGTGATGTCAAAATGCCGACGGGAAAGAAAATGAGACAGGGGTAAAGATCACTACAGTCTTACAAGATGCCTTGCCATAACATGAGGGCCAAGTCATGGGATTCTGCTGATCCTCTTCTGTGTTTTAGAAAATTTCTGGGTTTTAGATATTTTGTGGTAGAATTGATTGGGTCCTTATCTTAGGCCTTAAACTCTCACTTGGTATTCAGAATTCACACAACAACCTAAGGAATGCTGACTGCCCACTTCTTAACCACACGAATGGTGTTAGTGAAAAAAAAAATAAAAAAAATTATATACCGTGTCCACCAATGGTGAACAGATTAACTCGTGTCAAAGAAAAATTACAAAGAGAGAGACTTTAAAATGGAGCCAGAGCTGCCATCCCAGAGGAACTGCCTCACACTTCTATGCCTCAACCCTTTGGAATGTTAAAATGGAAAAATACCCTGTACACTGGGCTTAAAGCAACATTGTGTCCTAAAGAACTGTTTGCAAAGATAACAAGAAAGCAGATATTATGACTACTTGACTGATGGCTACTGGATTGAAAATTAAAAACATTGTTTAGCATTAGCGTCACTCTGTTAGCTTTGCTGTGCCACTTATGCTTTCCTTCTATTTATGTAATTGCTCCCCTTCCCTTTCTCAGAAATACCCCTTGCCTTTGTTTCCTAATCAGAACAATATTTGGGCTTTTGCCCGAACCAGTAATTCCCAAATAGCTATTGCTTTTTACCTTAAGTAAATGCTTGTTGCCTCTCACTTTGTAAGGCCTTGTATTTTTCGGTGAACATTCATGCTTGGACCTGGGGACACACTGCATGTCAGTGGCTGTCCAGCCTGTGCTCTCAATGGCTGTTGCTTTCTTTGGCAGCTGTGTACGCAGGTTATCTGCACGATACAACTTTCTCCTCTAGGTATCTAATCCCAGTTTTTTCAAAAAGACTCTCTGCACGTAGGGTCCTCATCTCATTTGGTAGTTCTAGGAATCTTCCAGTGCCATCTCCGGGGGAACTGCTGTTTAATCACTTCATCTTGGCGGCATACCCAAGGGTATTGGGACATTATTAGTGATCATACACTCAGAGTCCTCGTGCACACTTCCATTTTTCTGTGTATCCCATAGGTCATTGGAATTTATCAAGAAGCAACCAAAGGATTTTTATCCTTTTTCTTGATAATACGCAAGACCACATTGAGGAAAATGGCATTAGAAAGATATTTCTAATGGATGATTTCAGGGTATTGATTTTTTAAAACTCAATCCTAAATTAGATTCCCAAAACTATAAGTACAATTTCCCTATTTCAGTTACTATTTTTAAAATTCAAGATTTCTTTAGACAAGATAATGAGCAAGTATCAGAAATAAATCTGTGAAGATAAAGAATGGACAGTGACAAAAGAAGGTTAATAAAGGGGCTGCTGAGAGTTAGAGATCTAAATGATTGGTAGTGGAACAGCTAATTTTGATGGTTTAGGGTGAGGATTTTGACATGAAAAAGATTATGACTTCATGTTTTAAAATACCAAAATAAATTATCCACTTATATCATGACAAATGTCAGCTGAATGAATATCAGTGAAATTAGGATTTCACTGCCCTGGCAGGCATGGCTCAGTGGTTATGAATGCCGGCCTGCTGATGAAGGGGTTGAGGGTGAGGTTCTAATCAATGGCACATACTGGGTTCATTCTCTGGGGCGAGGGGCAAGTCCAGGAGGCAACCAATCAATATGGCTCTCTCACATTGATGTTTCCTTCTCTCTCTCTCTCCCCCCCTCCCTCCCTCCTTCCCTTTCACTGTCTCTAAAAAAATCAATGGAAAAAGTGTCCTCAGGATTAAAAACAAAAAAATTAGGATTTCACTTTAAGTGATTTTAAAAGAGGGATTTCTTATCCTATCTAATAAAAGAGAAACATGGTAATTAGCGTACGACCGCTACCCTTCCCATTGGCTAATCAGGGTGATATGCAAATTAACTGCCAGCCAAGATGGCGGCCGGCAGCCAGGCAGCTTCAAGCTAACATGAGGCTTGCTTGCTTCAGTGACGGAGGACTCCAACGTTC